TCAATTAAAATATATTCAAATGCTTAAAATTTAACAATTTATAATGATTCCCAACTCTGCTCGAAAAGTCAATAAAGTTAACCCTCGGGCCCACGTACCCCGATTCCAAAAATGTTTGAAGATAAATATTACCCATAACATTACGAGCTCAAATATATAGTTTATTCCCAATTCCATGTCCAATTTCGTGGTCAAATATCCAAAATACCAAATTCTAGGTTTCTTTCAAAATCCCCCAATTTTTACTAATTTCCATGCTAAAATTCCATGTGTTCATGAAATATAATCAAAAGTGATTTAGAAACACTTACCCCCAAGAGGTGGATGAAATAGCTCTCCAAAATTACCCCAAAGTCGGCTCCAAGAGAGAAAAATGAGATGAAATAAGCAAATCCCGTATTGGCTAGCATATATATTCTGCCCAGTCAATTTTTCGCACCTGCGAAACTCCTTACGCACCTGCGAGCCCGCTTCTACGAGAAAAATCTCGCTCTTGCGGAAGTCCACTGTCAGCAGCCCATCGCACCTGCGGAAATTCTTCCGCTCCTGCGCAATCGCAGGTTCGACACTGCCTAGCGCATCTCCGCATTTGCCTGCACCTGTGGCACTGGGCCTCGCTTCTGCCCACACGCAGGTGTGCTGCTCGCCTCTGCTTCTGCGACTACACGCCCAAGTTGCCCAAGCCGCTTCTGCGACCAAACTTCCGCAGAAGCGATCGCACCAGCAACAGAAATTCCAGCAACTCCATCAAGGCTCAAATCGATCTGAATCTCATCTGAAACTCACCCGAGGCTCCCGAGACCTCGTCCAACCATACCAACCATTCCCAAAACATGATGCAAATTTGCTCGAGGCCTCAAATCATACCAAACAACATCCAAACTATGAATCGACGATAAAAATCGTTCTTTAAACTTTCAAACTTCCAAACTTTGACGAACGCGTCCGAATCATAAAAAAATATTCCGGAATGACCCCAAACTTTACGTACAAGTCACAAATCACGATACAAACCTTTTCCAAAGTTCGGAATCCCAAACGGATATCGATAACGCCAAAGCTTACTTCAAACCAAACTTAGAAAATTCTTAAACTTTCAAAATGCCAACCTTCCATAATAATTGCTGAAATGCTTCCGAATCACCCGATACTCAACCCGAATATTCGCCCAAGTTCGAAATCATCATACGAACCTATTGGAACCTTCAAATCCCGATTCCGAGGTCGCTTACTCAAAAGTCAAACCCTGGTCAATCCTTCCAACTTAAAGCTTCCGAAATTAGAATTTTTCTTCTGAATTAACTCCGAACTTCCCAAAATTCAATTCCGACCACACATACAAGTCGTAATACATGAAGTGGAGCTACTCGAGGCCTCAAACCTCCGAACAATGCGCTAGAGTTCAAAACGACCGATCGGGTCGTTACAGGTTTCACCCGTACACAAAATGGTAGAATCTTACTCGTACCCGATGTCTAGAAAAAAAAAATGTACTTACCATAGTTAAGTAATACATGCGATGAAAATACACATTTAGTAACCATTGTTAAGTAATAAAAGAATATCCAGAAGAAACGTATCATCTTATCACCGGTTTGGTGTAAACAGTGGGTTCAAGTAAATTTAAAAATTAATAAATACTATTTTACATACACTTCTATTGGTTACTCATTAATTTTTGTTTTCATCTCAAATTATTGTTTAACCATGTTACGTATACTTGGTGTATACACCAGGTTTTAGATATAAAAAGAAACTTCTAGTCTAATCTTTGTTGTGCTTATAACTATGAGAAATTATTCTGAGAATTAGTTTCCGGGAATAAGTTACTCCAAATATTGAGTACTTATTTATTCATTTCACCAGAAGAAGATAAACATATTTAGCTTGTTTTTTTTTTTAAAAAAAATGGTTAGCTCAATGTCTGGGTTATTTTTTTATAAAAATAAGTGAAAAGATGCTCCAGAGCTCAATCTAGTGGAAGAAATGAATTAGAGTTTGATGACCAACAAGTGAAAGCCGCTATAATTAGCTTATAAATAATCATGTAAAACTAAGGCAATAGCTATAGATTTAATTATTAAAGTTTCAACAACCTTAAAATCCCAAACTTGAATATTCGAGACATAAAATGAGTTACTTGATTCTATCAAACCGTTAAAATTATCAAACGTAGTTAAACGTATTGTGAAAAACGATACATAAAAATAATAGTAGAAAGAAAGAAATTAAAGAAAAGTGAACAGTGGAATTGTCATGGGAAAAAAAGTGAGGAACAAATGAGGCAAAAGTTGGAACTAGGAAAAAAAAACTTAATGTTGTCTAGCAACCAAAGATTGATATCTTATTAAATTATAATATTATGGATGTGTAATATATGCATCAACGTACCAAAAAGACGAACGCATGATTGTATCATAAATACATCACCCTTGTGTGGTTGACCATTGAATTAAAAAACAAAAAGAAATGGATTTTAGACTCTATGTCGATTGCCGAAAGCATATAAATTTTGCACGCCTAAATTCTTTTATTAAAAGATTAAGGAGAAAGAAATGAAGGAAAAGGTAGACAAGAAAAAGGAGAATGTTTTTCTGTTGTTTTGTCTTATCGACATATGATGTGGATGGCCCTTCAAATATGGAATGCTATGCTATGTATGATTTATGTGAATACAAGTTTTGAGTTTTATGAGTTCATTTCTTAATATTTTTAGCATTGAATTTATTATATTTTTTAAGTTATGATTTCATATCTATTACTCTTTCTGTTCCAGTTTATGTGAACCTATTTCTTTTTTGGTCCGATCCAAAAAGAATGATCCATTTCTAAATTTGGAAAATAATTTTGATTAAACTTACAATTCTACCCTTAATGAGAAGCTTTTATAACTATACAAATGCTCTGGCTCCTTTTGATTTGTTTAGGACCACAAATTCGAAAAGTATTTATTTTTTTTTTAAACTCCGTGCTCAGTCAAACATGTTCACATAAATTGAAACACAGGGAGTATTTATTTATAATTTTAGTAAATTCTTAGACGTAAATGTTCTACGCAGAAAGTAAGAGGTTTTGATGAAACCGCTGGTACAATACTGCATCTGCTTGTGTCTCTGATTCTGGTGAGAATTGAACAGGAAGGAAAAAATAAAAAAATATATATTGCTAGACTACATATACATAACCTGCAAATGCCACCATTCCTATCCTAACCCCACCAAAGGATTTTCAATTTTCACACTCACCAGCAAAAAAAAGCAATTTGCAAAAGTAGAGATTTGAAAAGGGCCCTCCCAGATCCCATGCAATTACAAAATCCACTACTTTGCAGACATTCCTCTTTGCGAAAAAAAGATTGCTGATTTTGCAAGTTTTCGCTGGGGCTGACTGTTGTTTAATGTAAATGTCATTTGTTATATTTCGTAATACCAGCTTTCTACTATAGATAGCATGCTTATCTGGTTATTTAGGGTTATCCAGAAAACAAGGTGGACCATCTCATTTTAATTGCTGGTCATTGGGTCTAGTCCCCAAATAATCATACTCTTGAGTCTTGAGTACAAAAATAATTGAATAATCGTGTTCACAACAATACGAGGAAGAAGTCTTTGGTGGACTTCAGTCTGGGAATGAGCTCAATATTTTTGGGCTTTCAGGAGAACCAACGAAAAGCCCAGTCTTACATCGAGTTCAACTTAATGTAAGAAGAATTAACCCAAATAGCCACTATCATAGGGCTGTGCATTTGGATCGGATATCCGAAGTCCGAACCGATCAGCTCAATTTCGGATTTCGGATATTTGGATCGGATTTCGGATTATGTTTATTAAAATTTCGGATATCCGGATCGGATTCGGATTGATATAATTTTAACCAGATCCAAAATCCGAAATTATTAGGGCATGTATAAATACTAAACTTAATTTCAGATAGCCAGTACTTCCTTTACATCTACCTCCAAGTTATTGCCTTTACAATTGCTGGATTTAGCTACATTGGCACCATAGTACCCTCATAATTGCATAAACATGAATTTTTCTTGTTATATTGCCTCTTCTACAAAGAAAATATGAGTATGCGTTTCGCAGCTTAGAGGCATAACAACTCGGACCTCCAGAGAAATATTTTCTTAGAGATGCAATGCTGATAAAAGGGATGTAAAGCAAAGAGATGTTTGTATTAGCACAGAACACAGAAGAAGCAGATAAGGCAGATGCATTAGCCGATTAAATTAGCAATAGCCTTAATAATACGTGTAATCCGATCCGAAAATCTGAAATATTTATCCGATCTAAACTTTAAAATCTGATCCGATTCGATCCGATGTTAATTCGGATCGGATTCGGATTGCATTTTGTAGAATCCGAAATCCGAATTTTTAATCCGAAATGTGCTAAAACCGATCCGATCCGATCCATCATGGAGTTTCAAGTTCCACAGGTAAACAACTCCAAGACATTGTCATGGGATTTACGCTGTGAAACTTTTAACACAATGACAGCGACTAATTTTCAATTATAAGGTTGTAGTCTTGAAAATTAGACAAGGTACTAAGGCGACCTTAATCATCCAAGAAGCCAAGAAGTGCCCATCAAGTTTAAATATTGTATCTGCCTATGATTACAGTGTCCACAAAGGACGCATAGGAGCAGAAAATAGAATTCAGGGATCACCCAATCTTTCCCGAAAACTGCTATTCTCATTCCAAACTCAACCATTTGACCTGGTGAACTCCTATAGTCGGACTTTAACACAATTGACAATTAGCATTCGTGCATGTTTATTAATCTTCTAACATTCATACTAACAAAAACATTTCTGCATATCGAATATCTTGAACTTCATGCTGAAACATACATAGTAGCAAAAATTGGTCATATGTTCCAAAGCAATGTAGCTGTCGCTCTTTACAACATTAAAGATAGCCCGTCTGCTTTGACTACCATAAGAAACTTTGTGTTTCCACCTTGTAAGCTTTGGCTACAATAAGAACCTAGGCGTAATTGGGACAAAAAATTCTTCATTTGTTAGCTTTCTTCGGAGAGGTATACAATTTCATACTCCATAAAAGACAAAGTTGACATTCTATCTTATAGACACAAGACTACACTTTTTATCACAAATTAAGAGAAACACCACTGAACACAAACTCACATTCTGCTTTAATAGATCTAAAATTTGGTGTACACGACTAAGCATTTAACAATCACCAACAAAAAAAGCTCTCTCATCAATCAATAAAACTTCAGCAGCCAAGTGGAAGCCGTTACGTAATACCTCTTTCTCCCCTATTCTCTCCGTACCAACTTTATTTTACGTGTCAGCCCCTGGCTGACAACACATCCAAATTTAGACCGGAAGATGACCCCTCAAGCTGAGAAATCTTTCTCATATTTCTGTTGTAGCCAACATCTTGTCCTAATGGGAGGTCCAAAAGGTATTTTTCCTTGCTACCAGCTTGCTGCAGATGCATCAGTGCAAGCATGCTGATTGCAACGAGGGCCGCGTTTCCCAAAATTCCACCCACTTGATCCACTCTAAGAGACTTCCTAATGAAATTAAAACTAGAGAAGAGTATATTGAATAGAGCATTTGATCTCTTCCCCTTCTGCACCATGAAATTCTCACCTGGGGGTCTTGATGTAGGACCATAAAGATTTTCAGGAGAAACAAACTGACTGGCGTTACAGACATCTCCCACCAAGGACTGAGCTTCTTCAATGAATTTATAGTTCTTACCCTGATGTTCAGCCAATCGCATTGCAAGTATAATTCGGCTTTGCTCTAAGCGAGCAAGTGCAGCATCCCTTTCTGCACGTTGCTGATTTTGCAAGGTCTGGTATTAATGCACCAAAAAAGAAAAAAAGGTAAGTAGGAAGTTAATTATGTGTTAGACACAATATAATATTAAACTCAATCAAACTGTGAATGTTATAAAGCAAAGAGCCAACTAAATTATCACTATGCAAATGCTTCAAGAGGAATACATTCAGGAATAAAGAAAAAGATCCCAGAAACAGTTAAATAACATGATCTATCTATTTACATCCTCATGTAATTCAAAATCAAAGTTCCTCTACTTTAAACATACTCTTATCAGTGTAAAAAGCTCAAATCAACTACAACTTAAAATACATCTCCCTACCATTTCTACTTGCTTTTCAACTTTCTCTTTTGCCGATTCTCTTGATTCTGTTTATAAAGTACTTTACGCTACTCACACACCTTCACACCGCTTTGACCCAATCCACTTCAAATAATGCACTTCGACAGGAAACGGAATACATTTACTACAGTTACTCCAATATTTTCCAAGCTGACTAGCACAATAGTTGGTCTTATGCATTGGGTACCACGACTTCCCTCATGAACCATAGAAATCTACAAGAACCAGAGCAGCTCCCAATAGGAAATCTCCTTAACGTACCAGTGTTAAACAGAAAGTGCAGAGCGATTCAACCAGAAAATTGGCATTCCTTCTAGGTTCAGATGCATATGTAGCATGTCAATAACTGACAGCGGGGATAATTCTCAAATATTGATGCAATTATGGAAAACAGAAATATGAATCAATCCAAAATTTTCTGGTACTTTTGGTTTGGTTATGTTTGGAAAACAATCGTGTTTGGAACTTTAAATACTTCAATCTTTTGCTTGGGTCTCAGCTAGGGCTGTGCATAATTTGGTAAATACCGAATTACCGTACCGAAACCGAAAATTTTGGCATTCGGTATTCGATATTTTGGTATTCGGTATGGTATTTGATTTAAGTTTTTTAAAAAAAAAAAATAGTATTAGCTATGGTATTTGGTATTTTAAAATGAAATACCGAAATGCCGATACCGTACCGAAATATATAATATTACACAATACACATTGTATTAATTATAACATAAGTATAAGAAATCTAAAATTTTACTTTCCTTTATTCTCTAAGTTAATCAATTAACTCTAAGTAAGTAACAAGACATTTCTCTAAGTTTTCTCTCTCTAGGTTGGTATATGTTGGTTTTGGACAAAACTTTTGTCAACAAACGTTTTTAGTTTTGTTCTTTCGAGTACTTTAATTAAAAATATTACCGTCTATGACTCTATGCACTAGTTAGTATTGAAACCGAATAAACCGAAATTACCGAACCGAACAAACCGAAACCGAAAGGAGAAAAATCGAACCATACTGAATTTAATTAGGTACGGTATTGGTATAGCATTTTACGAAACCGAATACCAAAAATACCGAACCGAAATATCTAAATACCGTACCGACCGACGAACACCCCTAGTCTCAGCTGTAAAAGAATAGAACCAAAAACTTCAAGTAACCAAAAGTTATACTTATACCACATATATGCCCCAAAAAATCCAAAAATAAATAAAAATCAACTTTTTCTAAGCTCTGGTGGCTAAGACATTACAGCTCTCTCACTTTCTTAGTTCCATCAAATCTGTTAGCTTCACCTCTTGGTCTACGGAAGATTGTGACTCCAATGGTCACTTGTCGTCTCATTTTGGGTTTTGACAACTTACAGAGCCAAAATTAAAAGTATTGCAGCGTCTAGTGGCGGCTTTTGCTTATTGTTGTTTTGTCAAGATGAGGAATCTGCTATATATGTAGCTGTCTACTAATGTAAGAATCTGCTTCAGCATTTTCTGATCTAGTCTTGTGGACACAGTCGATTCTTGTTGAACAAAGAACTCAGATTATCTATTAGGAAAACCGAAAGAGATCAGTTCAAACCAGTTACCAGATGATTGGCCATCCCTACTACTCCTAGTTGCTCGCTCCATTTTATTGCTAATGATCCTATCAATATAAATTTTTCACATTATAGTTCACACACCCATTAAGTTCGATATAGCTCTTTAACGCACATGTACATCTTTATATTATTTTCACTAAATATCAAACGATTAATTGATACCAACCTCAATGATTGCATACACTAAACCCAGCTGGTTCATAACCATAATCCCATCCTCATTCAACCCAAAAGAGTTGCTTAATATGCAGAGTAAAATAAACGTCGCTAACAACCTAAAAGAGAACTGCATTCATCTGGCTATCCTATATGGCATTGTCTTAGGAGTTCTACAAAACTTTTTCTGACAAAAATACTACCAAGTCTGCAGAACATATAGTATCAATCTTTTCTCTGTGGACAGCACATAGAAACCAGCTGTCAAAAGACTCCTGTTTCAACAAAAGCCTAGGCCAAAGATCGTGTTAGACGCCATCTTGCCCAATCGTGAATTGCACGTCACAGTATCAAATAACCAAAAAAATTCTGCAACAATTTCTCCACAGTGGACAACATGGATTTTTTAGCTAATTTGATAACAGTAACATCGGTATGAGAAAATACACCATTTAATTAGAAGCATGAACTTTTTTTTTTCTCTCTTTTTTCGTTTCGTACTCCCAGCCCTCCAGTGTCTCTTGCAAGTACTGCAGTTACTGCTGCAGGGCGCTAAATAGGATGTAACACATACACTTGAAACATGCGGAGCATCTAATAAGCTAACACAAATCACCATATTATGCCTTTTAATTCAATTTAGCATTCACATTAATAACAGCATATTCTCTAATGTCGAAAAACATCAAAACTAAGGTTTACCACAACGTTCCGTAATTTCTATTCCCTATTTTGTTACAGGCCTCATTCGGTAACCAAAATTGAATAAACTAAATAGAACAATAACGCCATAAGACTGGAAAATCAGAGCAATGGATTGTAAAAAAAAAAATAGAAAAGTAAAAAGGAAGTTACATGGAAGAACTCGAGCTGGTCCTCAAGGTGTTCAAGAGCGGTACGAATAGCGTTGAGACTCTTAGCCTCATGAACGGCGTTATCATCATCGTCAACACGGAACTCCTTAACGAAAACATAGCCGGCTTTCACCTGATCTCCATTGTTAGGGTTTTCATCGGAAATTAGGTCGGGTTTCCTTTTAGACCGGTGATTGTAGAAGTTCTCATCGGACTTACAACGAGACTTGACGGAATTGAGGAAGTGAGCTCGAGAAACGGAGTGAATAGCATCGCTGAGCTTATCGTGTAAATCCCAGATTTTCTCGAGCACAGCTTCGATTTCATACACCTCCATTTCCCATTTCATGGAGCAAACCACACTCCGGAGGGAAAGTATATTGAAATTTTATTAAAGTAAGGGGGTCAAAAGTAGAATAATAGAAAAAGGGAAAGGGAGTATTCTAGGGTTTGTGTGGAGTGTGAACCAGCAGTTTTTTATTGTTTTAACTTTTAGTTTAGAATTTAGAATTTTGTCCCATTATTTCCCTCCTTTTTTTCGCAATAACCAACGCATATTTTGGTGGGTAGTGACATACACGATTGAGTGGCAAAAACCTGGCACTCCTATGCCGTTACAGCGTGGAAACGTGAGGCTCAGGTGTCGACTGTATTTTCGAAGGTGGGCCCGCATGAACAGTTTATTGTCAGAAAATACTGTGGAGTGTACGTAGTAATTTCAAATTTGAATCGTAATATAATGTTATTCAGTAAAATTTTATTCCTTCCTACCTGTTTAATCAATTAATTACATCTCAAGAAAGTTGGAGTTCGCTTCAGGGGCAATGTAGTTTCTAAACACCTTAGCTCGATTGAATTGTGGGACAAGAAATAATAATATTTTAAAATAAAATGCTAGATTATTTTATGTTTGGCTGCATTTTCAATTCTGTAATTATCAATTTTGAGATTGTTTATATTGCAATCATGGTATTATTTTATAGCACCCTCAGAGTGGGCTGGCTCTAAGGTAAAGCTAGTAAGGCTTGTGTTTTAGGTCCCCAAATTTTAGGGTCCCATTTTTTAGGAATAATAATTGGGTTATATGCTTTCTTCCCTGTTTTTTTTTTTTTTTAAAAAGAGCATTTTAGTAGAAAGTAAAAAAATTCATATAAAAGAAAAAAAAATATTACTATAATTTTTACTTTCTATTAGTGGTAAAAAATTGAGATCATTAAATGACGAGAATTTGAAAAAAAATTGGTTAACCTTGAATATTTCCTAAAACATAATAGTTATACTGATATTGATGGTTTAAACTTATTTTTTGAATTAAAAGTATTAAAAAATTCAAAAAAATAGTACAAGTAGAAAATAAATACTCTAATTAATATACTTAATCAAATAAAAAGATTTGATTCTTTTTCAAATGCTTATATTGCTTATAGAATAATAATAATAATATATATAACAATTGCTTAAGAAAAAGAAGTTTTTCGAAATTAAAATTGAAAAATCTTATCTAAGATCAATAATGTCTCAAGAAATATTAATGAGTTGGTTATATTGTTAATGAAAAAATTATTAATTTTTTTTAATTATAATAATTTTAAAAATAAATTGGTCTCTCATTAAACTTTCGCTTTAGGCCACTTATGTACTTGAGCTGCCCATGTCTCGTAGTTACTAATCCGATAAAACACCAAAATAATAAAGATGTCTTTCTCCAAAGCTATTTTCTCAAAGTCCTCTAAAAACTTCAAAGTAAAAATTAAAATAAAATTTTATCCTAACTTATCTAGTGTTAGACCAAATATATATTTTATACTATGTTTTTAGTACAAATAAACCACACATATACAAATAAAAGTATATTCACTAAATAATTTTGTTATTATTTTATTATCGTATTGTCCCATTCGCACTTGTTCACTATCTAAAACTAGGTTGAATTTTTGGTTATGCCCTCCAACTTTATGGTGGCCCTATTACTCCTATGAACTATTTCAAATTGGAGTATATGCACCATTGGAGGCGGAGGTGCCACAAATAGTATGCTCACTCTCTTGAAAGTGAGTGAGAGGCAAAAAAAATAAAAAATAACTCTAATTAATATTAACATATGTCATTTTTAAATGAATATTTTATAATTAAGTACACATAATTAATTAACAGTATAAACACAATACAATTTTCTTTTTCCTTTTTTCTTTCTCCTGCGAAAGATCCACTGGCAGACACCATAAAAACCATCAACAACTCTCTCATTGTCTTTATCCATTTATCATCTCTTTTTGGACCTTTCCTTTGTATCTACTTCAACCATCGATTAATTTGCGTCTATCTCTCCACCTCCAAGCCACCAATGAGCGACCGAAGCCACTGATTGCTCCTCTCTTGGAAACCATGTCTCTTTTTTTTTTATCTCCCGCTCATTTTCTATCAATTTTCACCACATATCAGATCTATGTAGTGTAGAGGGGTGATACGCCACCCGGACGCTCGGATAAAATTTTACGCTTATTGGTATTTTACAAAAATATTTTATATTTATAAACGAGTGGCACCTGTAAGCACAAAATGGCCATAGGTGCCATGGTTAATTAACTTCTTTTGCACAGGCGAGTCTCAAGATCGAGACCAACTAGAGGTAATCCAGTTCACTCTTCCACTTGGTCCTATTTCATTTTTCTTTTCTTCTCTTTTTCTTGATTTCTTTGATTTTCTTCATCTTTGCTTTTTCTCTTTGTACAACCCCATTTTTATTATTTAGTTAAATTATATAATTCTCATTGTTTTCTTTTTCTAGATTTTAAACTATTTATGTGAATATGATTTTAATCATTTTATTTTTTTAATCCATCTAATGTTATTTTTTTTCTTGATTTTGATAAAGGACGAACCATTTTTAATTTGGTTATTGCGTATTTATTTATGCATAAAATATTTTGTAAAGCGAACCGAATTAATTCAAAATAAAACTGAATCAAATTAATTCAAAGCGAAGCGACATATTGTACACCCTAATTCGATTTTCTCGATTAGTAATAGGTTTGTATTAAATATAATGGTACCCGTAGTTATCAAATTCTGGATTCGCCTCTGATATCTTCATCACCAGTTCTTACCCAAAATACTCAAATTATCGGATACCACTGCAACGCCACCTAAGAGGATGCATTCATCTTTTGTAACGACCTTACTGGTCGTTTTGAGAAATTGTGTCTGGTTCGGCAGTTTGAGGACATTAGTAGCTTCACCTAGTGTATTATGACTTGTGTGCATCATCAGCTCGGAGTTTTGAGTGGTTTTTAAGGAGTGACTCTCATTTGAGAAGCTCGAAGTTGAAAGAATTGATCAAGATTTGACCTTTGAGTATTTAACCTCGGATCAAAGTTTTAATGGTTCCGGTAGGTCCGACTTGGGCGTATGCCCGAAATTACATTTGGATGTTTCTAGAGGGTTTCGACATCATTTGGTCGAAGTTGACAATTTAAAGGTTTAGAATTTTTCTAGGTTTGACCATGGTTTAACTTTAAGGCTATCGGGTTCGGATTTTGGTTTTGGAACTTGGAATAGGTCTGTTTCGTCATATGGAACTTGCCTACAAAATTTGGCGTCATTTGGAGTTGATTTGATATGGTTCAGACGCATAGTTTCAATTCTAGAGGTTCTCTAAGTTCATGGGGATTTTCATGCATTTTGGCGTTCGATTCGTGATTCTAGAGGTTATTTTGATGTTGTGGTTACGCGATCAAGTTCGCGTTATATTTTTGGACTAGTGTGGGTGTTTGGTTTGGATCCTCGAGGCTTGGGTGAGTTTCAGATTGGTTTCAGAATGATTTTATATAATTTTTTAGTGTTGGTACTGGTTCCATCGCATTTGCGATTTTTTTGTCGCAAATGCAACTATCGCATTTGAGAAACTGGGATGCTGAGGAAGAGTGTGCATTTGCGAAGACATTCCTCGCATTTGCGAGTGTGGGTTGTTCGCTTTTGCGAAGATTTCTGCCTCTTTTGCGATGACAGTTGTCTTCGCATTTGCGATATTTTGGTCGCAAATGCGACTTTAGCATAACTCCTCCTGGTTCGCTTTTGCGATGCCTATTTGCGACATCTGCATCTGGCATATAGATGAGTAATTCCGAGACTTGGCTTCATTTTGATATATTTTGAACCCTAGCCCCGATGGGAGGTGATTTTGTGGAAAGATTTTCCTACCAAGCTATCGAGTAAGTAATTTTAATCAACTTTCAATTATATTTCGTGATTATACATTATATTTAACATCAAATTCATGAGAATCTAAGGGAAAAATTTGGAGATTTTGTCAAAGTTTTGAAAAAATAAAAATTTGGGATTTGAGAGTCGAATTGGACTCGGATTTGGAAACAAAATACGTATATGGACTCGTGGGGCTATGGGTAGTCAAGCCCTACTCTTGGACCCGGATTTTGACCGGACAGGCCCGGGGTTGACTTTTTAGAAATTATATAAAGATCATAGCTTTGTTAATTGGAATTGTTTTCTCTTGCATTGTTTGATGTATTTAAGTCGTCTTTGTCTAGATTGAGTCGAGTGGAGGTGAATTTGTAAAGGAAAAGCTAATTTGAGTATTAATTTGGCCGAATTGAGGTAAGTGTCTTGCCTAACTTTGTTGAGAAAATTTTTTCTACTAATTGCCATTGTTTGCTACATGCGGGGGTGATGCATACATGAGGTGACGAGTATATATGCATGTGCCAGGGTTAATCATGCTCGGGGGTAGATTATACGATTAATTGTGCCTTGTAGAATTTTGTGACCTTCTCATTTCATGCCTTACTTGACTTTTAGATTACCAAGAATATGAAATTAAATGCTAGGAACTAAGATTTAGCTCAGTATAACTTGATTAAAATTTGACGATTTTTTGTGAAATCATTGATGTGTTAAATTTGCTCATCATTATATTTAATCATTAATACATCGCTACGACCGATATTCTTGAGATATTGGATTCTTATACTTGAGTTAAAGATCATTTTTTTAGACTTGTCGAAATACTTGAATAATAAAGTACTTGAGGTTTGTTGAATTGTTATTGGCTGGAAAGTTGTGATTGATGTTAATTTGGAATAGTCTCTTAAACACTCTCATTGATGTTATTCATGTTTCCTACCTTGCTTGTTATTGGTATACATATGCTTGGTGAGAAAGAGCGTAAAGCACGAAGGGTGATACCGTGTCATTGCATATACATTATCATGTGAGGAAGAGTGTAAAGCACGAAGGGTGATGTCGTGCCATTTTATTTACGTTATCATGTGAGGGTAAAAGTAAAAGCACGAATGGTGATGGTGCACCGTTTCATTCATATTATCGTGTTCTCATTTACATTAACATGTGAGGGTGAGTATAAAAGTACGAAGGGTGATGTCGTGCCATTTCATTTATATTATCATGCTTTTATATTATCATGGGTTCATGGCACGAAGGGTGTTTCCGTGCAGG